GAATGCAAGGTGGATTTTCACGATGATCACACCAAAATTTGTCTTCTTCTCCCTAACCGTCGGCTTTAGTTTTTAAGAAAGATTGAGGCTGAATATCTGCACGTACCGTCATGATGGAGCGCGACTGTGGGACTTAATATCGCATCATAACTCATCACTGTACTTCCCTCCAAAGTGGCGGTTCATAACGTGTCCGGAGAGCTGAACGCCATTCAACAAGGAAGGATTAATGGACTCCGAAGGTTCAACACAACTGATATAAAATCCCGCAATGCGAAAACTAACGAAACTACAACATCCCTTCCTCAAAACTTATTTCTTAAGGACCTATCTCAATATTACAATCCCATTTCCTTCCTGGGCTACCAAGCAGGCGTTTTCCGAGAAATTTTCCTAATAAAACATGTATGCTTTGTTTCTGTTCCCACGTAAAGGCGCGAAAACCAAGTTCATAAGTCATCATTAACTATAAGTATACATTCTATAACATATTTTTATTATAAATTTGTCGGATATAAAGTTAAATACTCCTGTTTAATAAAAATTGGATATTTTTTTAAAAAAATACTCGATGAGCTAATATTAACAGAATTCCTTTGAGCAATATTTGAATTAATAGCTTGCAGTGGAAACCATGAAATCTTTCAGCGACGCTCAGTCTGTCACCATTTCAACAAAACCCTTTACGGAAAAGTTTTAGTCACATTAATGTTATTATTCAACTGTTATTTTAACACCACCGGATGTGTTATGCAATTTTACAGCGCGACAATTTCTACCCTTCTCCCCTAATATTCTGAAGAGCTGCGGGTGTTGGGCGGAGCTAATAATGAAGATAAATTGGCATACAAATTTTCCCATTGTCTGCCGCACACTACAATTAATAGAAACAGAGGTTATATCAACTTAAATTGTGTTTTGAGATGTTATAGATAGTCACAGTAAAAATTGGTTTCTTTTGACCGCTGTCAGATGCAGTATTTAACCTTTCATAGCAGCTATTAAAACCTGCGGTCCACGGGCCATATCTGGCCCGAAATCACTTGTAGCCAGGCTAGCGAAATAGATTGTTGTTGTAAAACTAGTTAGTACAAACTCTGATGTATTTTTTCACTCCAAAGAATCTAAAGAAAAAGAAAGATTGTAATTATCTCGTATGCTTTTTTACGTGCAAGTGTCACACATGTGACTACCTACAAAACTCTGCCATAAAATGTAAGATTACTGCTTAAAAATTGTGTCATGTAGAAGAAGGAGAAATTTTAAAATAATAAAAACTGTGATTTTTGTATATTTAATTAAGTATTGAGCGTATGTAAAGGATTATTTTTCACTTCTGAGTTAAGTACTGTTACAGATTACTTAAATTAGCTACTATTTTTCAAAAACAACCCAAGAAGAATTTTATTTTTGACATTAATTCCAACGAAATAACTATTCTTGACCCGAGGAAAGAAACCGTTTGACCTCTTTGCTTCAAGCCATAGCGTAACTATTGATACAAATCCCCTTACCGTGAACTAACACTGCACCCACCCCCCCAGAATTTATTTATTGGTTTTGCATGTTCTCAGAAAAATTGCATTGTTTCCTTAAAAAACATTTAACAAATGTCCTTGCAATGGAGATGACTTTACTTTTCTCTTTAGATAGAAACTAAATTTTTTCATATTATTTAAATAATATTCAGCCATATCTAAGCGCGAAAAACCGGATTTCTAAGAAAGGGCATATTTCATTCTATAGTGCTTGATATTACTCGCAGGCAGTACGTAGATAGGATTCCTAAAATGCATATAATTGTTATAGGTTCCTACAGAACGAAGATAAAAAGAGATGTCTAGATGTTATTAAAAGTACGCATACTTTATACATGTGTGTATGTTTGAGTTTAAATTTTATTAATTCCCATTCTGCGTATTTTACTGACAATAACAATGAAAATATATGGCGGAAATAAGAAATATATACCAAGTTTTAGTATGAAAGCAAGGCAAGAGGAGACTTGGATGGATAACACAAAAAGAAAACTTTAAGAAATAGGTTGTTAGCTGGCTTAGGGTAAGTTCCAGTAGCGAGTTCCACTGAACATGGTAATGAACCTTCAGTTTCCATAAAAGACAGCGGAATTTATTTACCAGCTACACGACTGTTACCTTCTCAAGAATAACTCTACTTCATGGAGTTACTTAGTTAGGCAGTCATTAATTAACACGTATGTTTCAGTTAGAAAGTGTTGTACTGAAGAAAACGGACATTATGTAAAAATAACAAAGTTTCGCCTTACAGTATTCTGTAATTAATTTACTCTGTACGTTTTAACAAACCCTTAAATTAGACTATATGTTGTTCCTAGTGAGAGTTGCTTTAGATGAGACTATTTTCGTAAGAGAAAAGTCGTGTATTATCATCAGGTAAGCACGCACGAGTTTTGCGTCTTGCGATATGAGACAAGGAATTTTCATTACTCAAATTTTTCTAGCTGTTTGATGATATAAGTGTAGGCCTATAACATAATGCAGTAATTTCTCTTCCAGTGTTTATCGACACGTTTTCATTAATTTCGTTTTAGTAATATATGTTTTTATCTTATATTTAATTGAAATTATATTTAACTGGTGTCCCGTAATTTTTATTCTGATTCTGATTATTCGTATATTATATTATTAATGATTTTTATAGAGGTAGCCCATATTCTAACTTGCTGTTCTCTGTTCCTATAAAACTTCGTTGAAGTATAAGTTAAATATTAGGGTCTGGGGGTAATAAAGTACGCCCCTATCTCAAATATTTCTTACCAGCAATAAGTATGTAGTATGCAAGTAACGTTCTTATGTTTATATTTTATATAAATATGTACAATTTTGTAACGATATTTTATTGGTCTTATTAACGTGTCTGGAATGTTGCTTTCTTCCATGATTTTTCCAAAAATATGTAAACCCACGATTCTAAAATATCACAAGCCTTTTAATATTTATTGCTGTGTAGAAATAATAGTATAATGAATCTTCTATTATTTATACTATCACAATTTTTACTTAAATGGGGTATAGTTCTTCTTGAGAAGTTGATAGTGTTACCTCAATCTTATTTAACTTGATTTGATCGATCATAATTGTTTTGATGTTTTAAAATACAAAGGCTGATTTATATATCGATATTTTCATACACTAACAATCGATATTCAAAGAGTTATCCACATACGGCTTGCTTTTAGTATTATACTTGAGAAGCCTAAGGGTTGTGAAAATATGACCCCTTCCCTTGTTTCAGATATCGTTTATTCCCCCACCCCCCGCTAAGGAACGTTTCAACCCCATGCCAGAAAGATAGAATGGTTTCTGCAGGAATATACAACAGAGGAGGGGTGTTCGGTAATCTGATAGTGCGTTGCGTGGGACAGAGAACAATTAGCAAAGGACATTGTCAGTGTATTACTTACGAAAAGTGAAGTGTTATATGAGAACACTCACATAGTACAAGAACTACATTACAGCTATTCACACTTTAAATGAAAAAAGCCTATCTCTTTTTTTTACAAGGTGTTCAAATTTTCAAGTCTTTTTAATTGGCATGTACGAATAAAAATAATAATTAAAAATGTATTTCGAAGAAGTAAATTTTTATTAGAAAAATACAGGCTTATGATATCATGTCTCCTTTTCCATGTGTGTCTGTCTGCCCGTTTAATAATTTCTGAAACAATTAACAGATTTTTGGTAAATTTGGTGTGAACATTAAGATACTAAACACTATAATTTTCCACATCCCGACATCAATAACACAGTCATGAAGGTAGTACATACTTCTGAGGTAAAAACAATAAGCCACTTAAATATATATATTATATAATAATATTTCCTTTAGAATTTAAAAGTGTGAATTAATAAAATACTGTATGCATTTTCATGTTTATTTTTTGATGGAAATTGTCATTTCTCCAAAAAAACAAACATATATCGGCCATATACGTACGTTTCTATACTGTGCAAACGAAAGTACCATTTGGAAACAAGAAATATGGGAAATAATTACCAACTGAATTTATTCGGAAGCTCAGATTTCGTTTTTCTGGTGAGTTGAAAGAACAGAATCCTTGGCTGCCTTACGAGCATTAGCACACGAGGTAAATGGGGAGGAACTCTACTCGGTTCGCTGCTTGCTAGCGCTCAACGGCTCGTGACGCAAGCAACTACACAGAAAAACTACATAGCAGGATAATGAGCATAGATCCCCAGCCCAGCACCTACACATCCATTATCTATACTGTCGTGAAATAGTTTTGAAATATAAACGCCAAACTGAAATGGATAAGCCGAAATTTTGCAGTTTTACAGTTTCATCAAATCTACTTCCTTTTGTCTGTCCTGGCTAATAATTTTTTTCAATCTACTTCCTTTTGTCTGTCCTGGCTAATATTTTTTTTAAATTGGGAGGAACTCTACTCGGTTCGCTGCTTGCTAGCGCTCAACGGCTCGTGACGCAAGCAACTACACAGAAAAACTACATAGCAGGATAATGAGCATAGATCCCCAGCCCAGCACCTACACATCCATTATCTATACTGTCGTGAAATAGTTTTGAAATATAAACGCCAAACTGAAATGGATAAGCCGAAATTTTGCAGTTTTACAGTTTCATCAAATCTACTTCCTTTTGTCTGTCCTGGCTAATAATTTTTTTCAATCGCTCAACTAATCTGCATGAGATACGGAAAGAATAAATCAATGGAGTTTGACTCGTGAAATTTGTGTAAAATTACGTCACGAAAGGTCCACAAATTTCTGTATGAAACCTTTTATATGTTAATTATAACATGGCAATGGTGTGAATCTTTGTGTTGTGTAATGAATATTTTACATAGACGTAGCCAGTAGTAGTTGAAATTACAAGCAGAAAGCCTATTAGATTCTATGTAGTCTCCTTACGTCTGTAAATGCGCATAATTTTAACATCAATGGATGAATTAATTTCACTCATAACGATTAAACAATTTATAAACGGTATGCATTGCGTAATAATTCTGGCTCTTTCGCCAGTATTTGATTTGTGACCTTTGTTAATGGAAGGGGAATTTCCTAAGGAGCAAAATCCAAATTCAGAATGCAAGGTCTTCATGTATAATACCCTTTATTGATACCCGATCTTAACCAAAACTATAACCTGTCGAGAAATTTTAGTAAAACCCCTAAACCTCAAATTTCATAGATTGTACAGCTACAGGCAGATACGACCTTTCCATTATGAGTACACTTTACGCGCATTGTGAAAATGACGCACAATAAATATGTATCTAAATCTGTACTTTAACAATCTATAAATCCATCACGAGCTGTTTATTCCTAGATTACTAGCCTGCTTCTTCATGCAAAGACTGTCCTATACCATTAGGCCCACCAATTTATTTTACTAGCAATTAGTGTTAATTGCCCCTAATTCAGTTTATGCTCCGTACCGTAAAACATACCATCGTCACGACACTGTGATTCAATGTTAATTTTATAAGTTATAAATATCCTGAATCTTTTCAAATATAGAGCATTTACAATTCAATTCATTAATTCAATTCATTTTAATACATTTTAAAATATATTACATTTTGTACCATATTTATCATATATTTCTTTTCTCCCCTTATTTCCTATTCTCGTTCGTACCTCATTATCGGCTTACCTCCTTATCTTTTTCACGTTCCTACCATTTACAAGTGTTCCCTCTTTTTCTCGCTCGCCTGACGTGTTTCTCCATTGCCTTCTCAATTCTATTAGTCTACTTGTAATACATTCAATTTTCTCTCCTAATGTTTCCACGTGTTGAATTTTCGACAATTGGTGGATGTGGGAGATTTTCATAGACAAACTGAAATCCTTGTCTACAGACAATGTCCCTTTTTCACAGTTCCGTTCTGGTGTCTCTGGTGGTAAAGCCTGCTAATACAGCATTATACTGTTCGTTACATTTGCATGGACAAGAATATCTTGATTCCAATTTGTTGAAACGTTCTCACAGCTTGTGAATTCTGCTGAATAAATGTTCGTTCCTAAAACTAGAAAAGAGAATATTATTGGGATTATATCCGTTCATCGTCTTCCCTGAGATCCTCTAAAGCAGACATGGAAATTTATCTCAGGGCTTTCCATGTAGCCTAAGACAAATTCCCAATCGTTAGCCTGTAATCTCATGCTGGCCCGCAGAAAATCTTTTAACAGAACATGATAAGAGGATTAAGTATAAATATTTTCCAGTGTGCATTAAATTAATCTTATGTTTGTGAGACAGCTGCCAGGAAATTAATTGCGGGAATTTGAATATTCGAGATATCTATATTTAATTTCATAATATTTAAGTATGGCGGAGTTTGAATTCCGAAGTCATTAGCCGATTACTTACAGCTTAAGAACTGGATCAACCTTAAATTACAACTGGGCAAAGTAGTGATAACATGGACCGACTTTCACTGTGTAATAGTGTAGCGTAATATAAAGACAGGTAGTAATTTTTTTGAAAATGTGGTAACGTTTAAATGGAAACAAAGGTAAGCGAACAAAATTACATTCAAGAAGAAGTTAAGAGCAGATTAAGTTCGGAGAATGAGTTTAGAATAATTTTGTCTTTCAGCCCCTATCTGAATATTTCAAGATTAAAATATACAAAACTATAATTCTGTATGTTACGCACGGAAATGTATTTAACTTCGTCTCTCTTTAAGAGAAGAACAGATATAAGAATTTTCGAGAACTTGGTGCTGAGGGGGAGTAAGAGGAAGGAAGTGATAGGATACTGGACACAAGTGGGCGGGACATGTAGCACACATGGGGGAGATAACTGTACAAAGCTTGGATTCAAAATCATGAAGGGAATAGATTACTGGCAAGACCTAAGCGAAGATGGAGGAATATTATTAGAATTTATTATAGTAAACATGGGTGCGGACCGGATTAATCTGGCTCAGGATAAATTTTTTGGCTAGCCGACTGACTATCAGCTTCTCAATAAGACGTTTGTTCCATGAATTTAGCTAATTAGTGGTATGTTTCATTTTCCATGCGTTCTTAAAACAATAACGATATAAATTACTCATGTGAGCGAGTGGACACGGACACACCGAAGATGGTAAGTATTTCTAAATAATGTTATTTTGTGACGCTTAAAAGGGACATTAGTAAAAACTTTACGCTACCAATCTACCAATACTGCGGTAATACATTTTTAATTAAACATCCTGTTTATTATTAATTTTACAGAATTGTCTTAAGTTAATTTTAAATTCAGATTTTTAAACAATACAAAGCATACGCAGAAGTTTCACAAAAGCATCTTTGAAATCCGAATGGATCATGAAAATAAGAAGGAACTAATTCTTTGTTAAAAACGAAATATAATTTTTAATATTTGCGCTTTCGTGAACAAACAAATCTCGGAATATAAAAACAATGAATTTACAGAAAACGACCGAAGTTTATCTTCTGTCCAACAATGAATCTTACACGAGAAAGAAATTCTTCAGACCAGTTTACCATCAGCTTGCTACGGAACGCGATGTACCGTATATCAGTAAATCTGTTCTCTGCTCATTTAAACCGAATACAACGCATTCTACTCCTGTATTGCCGTATCCTAATCTACTCGCTCTCTTATTCCAGTTTCCAGTCCTCTATACTTTTATTACATTTTGTATTTGATTTAAAATAAGTAGTTTACAGCGTTTCAAAGGTAATTTATGTTTTCTTAAGCGACACAAATACAACATCAAATTTATAATTTGAAACTTTTAAGTAAAATATACACACACTTAGTCATCCTCGTCTTGTTGACGATTGCTTGCATTAAAACGTTAACAAATGTATTTCCAAGATATTTTTAACAATAAATTTAAATATCCTCTATAAGCGGCAATAACCCAGAACTTCACACAGCTCCCATGCTATTTTATTCTTCATGGTGAGATATTCGAAAATGCACTACAAATGTAGACGTGACTTCCAATGCTTGATTTCATTCCAAGTTTCATGAAAATCTGTCATCTATTTCATCAGTTGTTGAGAGAGACGCATATATTAAATCACTTCATGATCATCTAATGCGCATATATTTCCTACAAATATAAGTAAACTAAATTTCTTTTACTTTATAACCACAAATACACTTTCTTTAAAATAAATTTCTTAAAATCTTTTCTCATTTGTAACTGTTTACGCGGCTTAGCTAACTTGCCAAATTTAAAACAGATTTACCCAAACCAGTTTAAAACTTAGCTGTTCAGTTAGAAACCTCTATACTAATTATTTTTTAATTTACGTGCACGACATAAGAATTGTAGATGATCAAACACGTAACTATCGCCTACTCAGTTCGCAAACAGATTTATAAGTTCAATTGTGGCGTCTTATTACCATGCGTCTCGGAGATAAGGAAACACCGACATGGATGCTCAGAGGAAGATGCATGGTGTACACAATCCGTAACGATCTTACGTTAGTTAAACAAAAAGAAGACACTGGCGTTCAGCTTCCACTGCGATGATTGATTGTCGAGACTGTACAGATCCCCTGGACTTAAGGCGGAAGAACTATAAAGGGCACGTTTCAAAAGAAATCATGGTCTCCGAGAAGAATCACTATGGATCCTT